GCCGCAGGGCCCGCTCCGCCCCGGCACGGCGCCCGGGCGCCGTTCTCATTGTGGCACTCCAGCGCTTTTTGTGACTTCCGAGTTCACCGACTTCTTTTGCTGAGGCAGATCTCAGGCACGGGGTTTGTCTTTTTCCTTTCCAGGTATCTTCAGTCATTCCCAAGCTGCCTGAAGCTGAGGTTTTGGAAGAAAAGGTGTTTTCTGCACACAAGAGAAGCTTGAGTTTTCTTACACAAACCAAACCCCAAGATCTCTTCCTCAAGAACAACCCAGCCCTCAGGGAAACATGCTTTCTTCTAGCTTATAAAAGATGCCAATACCTGGATGCATAAAATACAAAGTTGCTAGTTTATCAGAGTTCAAATAAATCATCACAAGTTGATTAATTTTTGAGTTGTTTTTGTGGTGATTGCACACCTGGAACTTACCCAGAAGTGAAATAGTGGAATTCCACCTTAGCATTTGGATACCACAGCCTAGAGATTTCATAAAAAAAATTTCTTATGGCAGTTATTAGAACCAGGGTTTCCACCAGAAAGGTTTTCTCCCACTGCTTTCAACTATGTCTTTTGAATAACCAGTGAATCTCCTACAATAATATTACTTTATAGAGCCTGTTTCCAATTTATATAGGTCCCCACCATGATCTAGTTAGATTGAGATTGCCTTCATAAAGCAGTGAACCGACAGACTTTTACCTTTTATTTTAAGTCTTTTTAAAAAACAAAAATTTACAAAAATGTACACGAGTTGCTTAGAACACTGATACAACAGTGCAATCCATTCAGATTTTAACAGCCACCACTTTATTTCATTCTTAATTGGGAGTTCTGGGCTACAGGAAGGGTATGCTGTAAACATTATTTTAAGCTTCCGTGTTGAAGATAATAATTTACTGTTTTCACAAATATTTCTCATTCTTGAGCACCTTTAAGACATGAAAAATATAACATGAGAACAGAATGTGCTGGAAAATGGCTTTCCCTATTATTACAGAGACACTGAGGTATAAGTGGAGCACCACTGTTTGGCAACAATCTTTCTCAGTTTGAAGAAGAGAAAGAGATTATGCAATATAAAGGTGGAAAAGTACACGGTTTAAATATTTCCAGTTAAAAACCCCTTAAACAACATCTCTATGGACTGAAAACATTGTTTCAAGAGTCTTACTTTTCATAAAACAAAAGTATTCAGAATTGTAGCAAAGTCTCACAAATCTGTCGTATAAAACCAGATTCAATCACAAATTATCAGGCTCAATTCTTGTCAAACACAAAACGCAGTATAAAAATAGAACACAATATACAAGAAGAGAAGTAGTTAAATATTACTGAAACCAAAGTAAAAAAGGAATAACTGTTATTTACAAAATCTTTGCCTAATCTTTGAGACCATCTTTAGCTACGGAATCATCTCTCTACCTTTTTAGGAGACGAGCATGCAGCTCTGGCAGCTGTAAATAATGAAATGCAATGCATGTATACAAATCTATGTACATTGAGGCACAGTGCTTTGTGAAGACTTTGTCACCCAGTCCTTACTGTGAAGAGTTGGTTTTAGTCACTGATACTTTAGAAGACTTGTCCCATCCTCTCCCTGCCCACTCCCATCCCAAAGTTATTGAACATTTCACTGTGAATTCAGAAAGAAACAAGCTTAATGTAGTAAAACATGAGATGGTCTTCTCAGGGAGGAGTGGAAGTTGTCACCATTGGTCCTTGCAAAAGGCTGCCTTGTTAAACAATACACAAGTTACAGCAAAAGAGAGCATGAACTAGTCCCCTTTGAGTAGTTTGTGCATTTAATATTATCAATGCACTTACTGGACAAGCACCAAACAAACCCACATTTCAGCTGTGGAAAGCAATATCATGACAACAGATATATACATTATTTTAAATACGTATAGAAATTTAATATACAAATGGCTCTGAATATACAATAAAATAATGTGGTTAATTAAAAAAAAAAATAAATCAGACTATGGTGAGAATATCACCATTAGGCACAAGGCATTTCTGGTGTTAGCCATTTAAGGGAAGTCCAAAGACAGACCATTTATCATTTGTCTGGGTATTTCGAGATGAATCCCTTCAAGGTAATGCAAGAACCTATAAAGAGAAAAGTAAAAGTGACTATAAAGGGGCAAAGTTATTTCCAAATGCAAGGCAATACTTCTGTTATTTAGAGAGGCAAATGCTCAACTTTCTTGCCCAGAATTATTTGAAAAGTATAAGAATTCTTAACCACCTTGTATACTGAAACACAGCAAGATTTAGGAAAACAAAAACTCACCTTCTTTTAGTCTTCCCTTGCTCTTTAAGCTTCTCAGACCTGCAGATACTGCGAAGAGTGGGGAGGTATTCAAGCAGGCTGGCTTGCTTATTACCCAGGTTTAGAGGACTTCTGGAAAATACATTTCTGATGACTGCCAGCCTCTTCTGTGCTTTTTTGAGAATGCTAAAATGGAGAATGAACCTTTATTGTTTCCTGTTCAAGAAAATGCAGTTCCTGTTTTGTTCCTTTAAAATCATACCCACTGCTTTAAATCTTGGTTACACACACTGATGTCCAAAGCTACGTCCCAGTGGATGCCTGTGACTTCTGATGGTGTGCTGCTCACACAGCACCACAAGCCTGCCCTCAGAGACAGAAACAGGAGCAATGGCACTTTGGCCAATGCCATTGGCTCAACTATGGAGTCTTCTCTGGGGAGCTCTTCACAAGCTGGTTATGTATGTGAGGTTTAGTACATCTGTCAGACAACACAACTGAAGGCATCTGTGGTCTTCAAAAAGAAAAAGCATCACAGGATTGGTATTTGGATCTGGTTCTGACATTCTGGCAATGTCTTACTCAAGATAGACTGGCAAACTCAATCACAGGTTAGACACTTAGATCCATTTTGACACTGCTCCTCTGGGTACCAGAAGCAGAAATAAGAAAAATAAGAATTTCTCACAGAAGTGAGACCTACTGCCTATAGACCATGACACCTATTATGCCCATTTCAGGTATGACAACCTGTTTATGTTAAAAAAAAAAATCATAGAATCACTATGGTTGGAAAGGCCCTCTAGGATCACCGAGTCCAACCTCCATCCCAACATTTCCCTATCCATTAGGCCAGAGCCTCAAGTGCTACATCTACTCACTTTTTGAACCCCTCCAGGGATGGTGACTCCATCACCTCCCTGGGCAGCCCGTTCCAGTGCCTCACCACTCTCTCAGGGAAAAAAAAATTTTCCTAATATCCAACCAAAACCTCCCCTGGCGCAACTTGAGGCCATTTCCTCTCATCCTATAATCAGTAATTTGGGAGAAGAGAACAAGACTGGCCCCACTCCAACCTCTATTTAGGTAGTTGTAGAGAGCAATAAGGTCAGCTCTCAGTCTCTTCTTCTCTAGACTAAACAACCCCAGTTTCCCCAGCCAGCCTTCCTAAGGCATGTTTTCCAGCCCTCTCACCAGCCTCATTGCCCTTCTCTGGACCCACTCCAGCACCTCCATGTCCTTCTGTTCCTGTGGTGCCCAAAACTGGACACAGGACTCAAGGTGTGGTCTCACCAGTGCTGAGTCCAGGGGCACCATCACCTCCCTACTCCTGCTGGTCATATATTTCTGATCCAGGCCAGGATGCCATTGTCCTTTTTGGCCACCTGGGCACACTGCTGGCTCATGTTCAGTTGCTATCCTCCCAACACCACCAGGTCCTTTTCCACCAGGCACTTTCCAGCCACTCCTCCCCAAGCCTGGAGCCTTGCCTGGTGTGGCTGTGACCCAAGTGCAGGACCAGGCACTTGGCCTTGTTAAACCTCATCCAACTGACCTGAGCCCCTTGCTCTAGCCTGTCCAGATCCCTCTGTAGAGCCTTCCTGCCCTCAAGCCAATCAACACTCCCACTTAATTCTTTCTTAAATCCTTCATATGCACACCTGCTAGCTGCAGTGTATTCTTTTTCATAAGTTCTAGGTTCTTCTTTGTTAGTGTAAGTTACTACAAAAATAATCACAATAATTTTGCTCTGAATTTTGTTCGGTCTTCACCAAGCAACACCTCTGCACTTAATATAGCTCAATATGACTGGAAGAAAAATTTGCATATCTAGTGTTTGCAGAATTCATTTCAGTCCATTTGTCTGTCTTACAAAAGCCAGTCCTTTAGGTTTTTATTCTTTTAGGGGGGGTGGTGGTGTTTGCCTGTTCTTTTAAAAAGTAAATAGCCTAGATTAAGGCCACCATTCCTGAACAATGTTAGAGCCAGGCCGGTCAAACATGAAGAGTCACTTTTTGCAGACACTGCCAAGCAGTTGTTTACAGCAGCAAAGCAAACAACATACTGCAGTGTTTTGAGGCACTCTGACCAAGCCCATGTCGGTACAAAGGCGTACATGTAGCTATCTGCAACAGTCCTACATCCTGTGACACCTTCTGACACACAACTGCATCATGTTCCAGATAGATTAGCCAAGTCTTACCTTGAGTCAGCCGACTGACTGAAGGACACGTTATTTCTTGTGTCTGAAATATGCAAAGTAAGTCCCTCCAGTTGATCATTGCCAGCTGTTTTACTGGTACTTAAAGAGGATTCCAAGTTTTGTGAAATATTAACAGAACATTTGTTAAAACTGAGTGCTTCTATCGCTGCCTTTATTTCACTACAGCTCTGGGAACTCCACCAATCAGTATTTTCTATACTGAATTCATCACTAAGACCATTTCTGATTTTGCCATTTGTCCAGCTAAATCCTTCATCTTCAGAAAACTCCAGTGGTTCCTTGGTGTTCATGTTTACACAGCAATCCAAGAAAGACATGTTCTCAACAAATTCAGTCAGTGAATTCAGACACTGAAAAACAAGAGCAGACCTTTCCTCATTTGCTGAGCTTTTAGTTTTAATTTCTTTTTCTTCTTTACTCATCAACATTTTTGATTCCTCTTTATTCACTTCAGCACATGATGTAGGACTATCTGATGGCAAAGTTAGGAACTCAGCTGAATAGTTCAGTCCAGCATCAAATAAGTCACTGTCATCCAATAGAGCAAGCCTTTTCTGGTTCTTTGTCTTTTTAGACTTTTTTCCAGGGTTACTTCTTCCACAAGAATAACTGTTAGTAGATCTGTTTTTTGAAGAAACTATGTTAGTCCTTTCAAGTACAGAGTTAGAGGCTTCAGACTGGTTTGAAAGAACTTGCACTGGTAAGGGAAGAAGTTGTTCAAGATTACTATATATAAAATCCACTTTCTTCATCTGGAATTCTGTGAGAAGCTGCATCAATTTGTTCCATTTCTCCACTGTTGTGATTTTGTGCTGTAAAGTCATAATTGTGAAAAAAATTAATACTTTAAAAAAAACTAAAAAAAGACCTTATTACAGAAAACATTACACTCCTGACTTTGTGTTTACTTGCAGGGCACTGCCTCAGTTCAGATTTTGCTTAACAACAGAAGCCCTTAATTTCTACAACAAACCTTTTCAAAGGGATTTGCTTCTAAGAAGATGCTATTCAGAGTGATGATTACGCTCAATTATCTGGCAATCGTTCAAAGTGTTAGCTAGTCAACTACAAAAATACCTTAATAAATGTAAACAAATCCTCTGAAGGCAGCAGGATATTCTTAAGGCCAAGCAATGTCTCTACACAGCCTGTATCACATTTTGGAAACTCCTGAAGACGTGCATCAGCTTGAGAAGACTCAACCTTGGAATCAGCAGTCTTTTCAAAATGAATGGCCTGGTCTGCTTGATCAGTCTCCTCTCCTCCTGCACAAAGATAACATGCTTTACTTGAAAAGAAACAATGAACTGTCACCTCTTGCTGCAGTTCTGAACAAATGTAGCCACAGAAATTAGTCATCCCCTTGCTGCTCACCATCCCCTTTCATTCATTGCAGCATTGTCAACCTGCCTGCTCTCCCTGCTTTGTGAGGAACCTTTTGAAGTGGTCTCTGTCCTCACTCACACTGTCTCACACCCCACCACCTGCTGAGGATACTCCTCTTCTGTTCTTTGGCACCAAGTTCTTACCCTTGCTGCCTGCTTGCTAGCTGTCCATTTTTATTCCTTTTTCAGTTCTGCTTCTTCTAGATGAATTGCCTGTAACTCAGATAAATGGATAAAGAACTGCAAACTCTGAGTTGAAGGGAAACTACTACTGGCTCCCTGCTCTGCCCAATTTTGCTGTTCAGAAGAGGAAGGGGAGATAACTAAGTACCATAATGGCTAATAAACAGATGTAACAATTAAAAAATAAAAAAAAAAATCACCAAACTCTTAGTTCCTTATGCACACATACAAGGCATTGAAGTAGCGGAAAAAACCAAAGCCCCAAACCCTACCCAAACATTCAGGAGTCTCACAGAGAGTTACTACCTACTCCTACATGTCTAAGAGTGTTTTGGTTTAATGAAATTAATATTTAGATGGATTTTTAAAAAATTAAATTAACTCAACCTACCACAATGTGCCAAACATTTGTCTTTCAAGCATCCACCTCCACTTCTAACCCAGAATTGTAAGTAGAGAACACTCTGTCTGATATCACAGTTATTTGTGGTTAACAGAGCAGCCAAGTCCTTCACATCCGTTCGTAGATTCTCAGCCAGACACAGCACTTGAAGATAGCTAGCAGCATTTACCTGAACAGAAGTTAGACACAGACCACTGAGAACAACTCTTACTCTCTCAGACTCAATACATCCCACAGAAGCAGGTTATTCTATTTATGCTTGCAATACAGTTTTATTTTTAATAAAGAAGATCAATTTATTAAATTAGGGTACAGTTACATTAAAACCTCTATAGAAAAGCACAATACTGTACTAAATCTAAACAGTCTACATCAGAGAAATAAGTTCAGTTTAGAAATCAAACTCATTAAAATAAACCAAAACACATTCTGCTTACATTCCTGAAACCAGGCACACCTTGCTTCCCTTCACTTCAAAGGTTTTTCTTTCCTTCAACTCTGCAATTGTCTGGTAGCCTAAAACCTTTTCAAATTTCACATTAAAAAAAAAAAATCCCCTTATCAAAAGTTAGTCCCTGATAATTCTCATTTTTTTAGGTTTTTCATATAATACATAGTTGCAAATAAAGCTATTCACTATATAGAATACTGCTGTTTACATTGAAAAGTATAGGAATTATTCTAGAATTATTATGGTTTCTTCCTCTTAGTGAATGAACTAATGCTGGCACAGTCAGCTTTCAGATCAAAACATGTATCATCTATGAAATTATTCAGTACATCCTA